TAGGTATTTATAGAGAAGATGGATTCTACTGCTGTGCAGGGGAAATTGACAGGGTTTGGTTATAAAAAGATGAAGCAGGAAGGAGAGGAACAAAGATAGATGAGACCCAACACACATGGACCTTTGTGGCAAATTACAGATTCTTATTTTCACTTACTGGTCTTAAAATCGCCATCTAACATGCAGGCGAGCTTGTGGCTTTTCCTGAGAGTAAGCTGTGGCATACATGTGGAACCTTTTCTCTAGGGGTCAAGAGGCCATGTGTGATGTGTGGGGCATGTTATGTGCCTCGAGACAGGGTCTGCGAGGGCCAGCGCAGCAGCTGGGTGCTGTCTGGCCAGGAAAGGACTGAAGGTGCAGCTTTGTGCCTGGCTTAGGGTCTTTCAAGGCAGCAGCATGGGTAACTCTCTGGTCTCCTTGTGCTGAAACAATGCAGAGCGCAGTCAGAGCAGAGCTATGATCCACCTGCAGTCTGTTTGGGGAAGGATCTGCTTTCTTTCAGCACCGATCTGGTCATTGGTCATTGGAAACGGACTGCGAATCCCCAGTGTGGGGAGGTGTTCATGTCCAGCTCCCCTCTCATGGGATATTTGTGCCAGGCTCCAGGCAAGTGTTGGACCAGAACATCTCTCCTCCCATCTCTTTGCTCTTTTTTGGGACAGAAGGGTCTGCCTTGCACTTTTCCATGCAATCAGGGTAAAGATAGAACAAACCAGATCCTTGGTAAGCATCTTATTATGACGTTTTTGCAATGGCTATTCAGCGTGCTTAGACACCACAGACAGCATTATGGCTACTGGAAGACAAGTGCTTTCGAGGCGGGAGCCCTTAATTGAGACAGTTTGTGTTCGTAGTAACAAACAGGCAGCAGACTTTACATTTGCAACTTTTATAACCTAACTTCTGTGTAAATACCAACTCACTGCATAAGCTCTGTCCAGATTTTCGCCCATTGTAAAGAAGTTACAGGATAGTCACCTTTCAGGTGTGTTACCTTTTGCCAGATGTCTTCCCAAGCATCTCATGTTTCAAGTAGTCTCCATCTTGATGCAAAGCAGAGTGACTCACAGCATGGGGGGGTGACTCACTGATATCAATTAAACATTAGGATCCTGAAGGTGTGACTCCTTAAGCTTTGACAAAAAAATGCTGTCACAACATGAAAAAACCACTTGCAATGTATTGCACATCTGCATAGGTGGCAATTTCTCTATGTTGTTGTACTGCTATGAAAAATAACTTTTGGTTTTTTAAATCTTCCCCTTCCACCAGCATATTTTATATAGTTATTTTTGTTTCATCATAACAATATGGTCCTATTGTTTAGGTTTAGCAAGTCCCTTTATCAGATCTCTTGCATTATGAGGATGGATGGAGGACAGAAAGACAGACAAGACCCAGGGACACAAAGAGAAATCCCAGAGAGCATTTAGCAGTAGCCTTCCTTCAGGCTGGGCACTCTTCACTCCCAAGCGGGACACAGGAGGATTCAGCCAGAGCAGTTACAGGATTTAATGATCTCCCTGCTTATAACAGATTAATCTACCTTTTGTAAGAGGTGTTAGAGGATTACTATCTAGTCTCCAGCCAAAACAATCTCCCAGTGCAGATTTACTTGGAGTGCCACTTGAACTGTCATCAGTGTGCCCAGCCCAGCATTTTGTTCTGCGGGGACATGGAAACCTGTCACTCCCTTCTCTGTGGAGCAAATCTGAGAGTCGTGTTTGCAGGATGAAACTACTGGCACTTACAGCAGGACCTGCCATGGCTCCAGGTACAGCCAGGCCACATGGGCACATGTTGAATATGCTCTGCTCTGCCGAGCCCAAGTGTATCTAAGGGGAGAGGCAGCACTGATGCTACGTAATGGTTTCTGCTTCATTTCTAGCTCTTCAAAGCTTAGGGTGCAGTCCTCTGCCTTTGGCTTTTCCATGGGGAAGGGAAGGGGGAGTGCAGTTCTCTGGCAAAATTCCTGCACTTTCACCACGATGAAGCCTTGCTGGTTTGCTCTGCTGCTGTGTTAAGATAGGTGGGGAGGATACGCTAGCTATTAAATATGTATTTTGTCCTATTAATGTCATCTTTACCTGAGGCTGCTTTTGACTGCAGCATCCATTTTTCTTTTGTGCCTTCTTCCTATTCTTCTGTCTCTGTGAGTTGAACACCCTGGTGGCACCCACCACTGTCCTGACAAATTTATTTTGGACAACTGCTTCATGGTGACCTCTCTGGTTTGTGACAGCTGTTGGAGGAGAAACTGGAGGTATGCTTGAGCTCTTGGTACTGAGCAAGAAATTTGGGGTCATGGGAGACTTTCTGGAAGCTTGTGCTAAAGCAACTGATGAAATATTTCACCATTTCTCTATTTACGAGTTCTGAGGGTTTTGAAGAGGGTCAGAGAGGATCAGGGGCTGCCTGTGTCTGTCAGCACCCACGTCAGGCTGGGTTTGGGGGATCAGCTCTGCTTTACACTGGCCAGCAGAGCGGGTGCTTAACCAAGGGCAGGAAAGGGACAGATGCAGGGTTTGCAGGGAAATACATGTTTTTGTTTTCAGAGCAGCTGGGAAGTTGGGCAATAGCCTTAAAAACAAACAAACAAATGACTCACAGATAAGTTATCAAAAGGAGTGGGTGCATTTTAGGCATCACCGAAGGACGTGCTGATAGATTGACCTTTCTTCTGCTTTTAAACTCTTACTCTGTGTGCCGGTGTGCCAAAGTGTTTGACATCTGTTGTCCTGGCCTGAAATTTCACAACAGCCAGTCACGAGATCTTGGCTCTTCCAAGCATGAACCTTTACCTCTGTGCAATCTGGTACTGCACAATCTCTGCCTGGGGCTCATGCAAGGGCCAGCTATCTTTGCCTGACAATAGTAAGCTGTGAAAATGAAAAGGCACCAGCATATCTGCTTTTTCTTCTTGCACTTGGATGACATTACCACTCCTCTGACAGCAATAAAATTAAAATTAACTCCTGTAGATTGCCTTTAAAAAAGTGATATTGTATAAATATGACTATTTTCAATAAACTTAATTTGTTCTCCAAAACCAAAAATGGTTTCTCAGTTTTAAGCAGCATATACGCATTCTGGATTGTGAAAATAAACCCGGAGCATTTGAAAGCCTGCCTGGAGCTCCAGTGTATCTCCCGAATTTTGTCTTGTTTATGGCTTGTCTGGGCAGATATTTTTCTTTGCTATCTGGAGATTGGTTCTATAATTGCAAATATTAGGAATTGCATTTCCCACACTTGCTAAATACTTCTGAAAAGTCAGCATCTTTGGAGAGCAATTCTCACTGCCTTGCTGAGCTGTTAGCTGCAAAAAATTCATAGCTATTTGGTGGAAAAAATACTTGCTCATACTACTCGCTTTTGGTTCCTTAGTGCCTTCAGTCTGTAGGTTGGAGGATCAGACATGTATGTCCCAACTTCTACAAGCCGGTGCAATGAGGAACTCAAAAATACATTTAACTAAAACAGAAAGCCTGAGCCTGAAATCTGGCACGTTTCTTTTAGCCACAAAACTGCTATACTTCTTGGTGAGATGGTGTATTGTAGGGAGGACTTCTCTTGTGATGTTCAACCAGAGGGCTGAGTCAGAGCTAGCTTTATTTGTGGAAGCGCTGTATGTAATGGAAATACTTAAAAGTACAGTGCACCTAATGGAACTCTTTTGAGGGAAGCTTTCTTTTGAAGTTGCATCTGACTTTTAAAAATAAATTGCATACTTTTACTTTGCATTTTTGGCCATGAAATTTCAGTTACTGGTGTCAGGAGGGATGCTACTGTTACATTACACACAACCATTTATTCTGCAAAGTTTCGATTCTGGAGTATCTGACTCTCCAAAGTTAGCTGTACTTACTTTTCATGAAGTGTATATGGCTCCCATTACCATCAATATTTGAACACTTCACAAACCATGAACAAACATATCTTCCTACACTTATTCAAGGATATAATAGTACTACCCACACTTTACATATAACAGGGATTAAGTTACATGTCTGAGGGCAATGGTGATGTTGGGCTAAAGCCAGGAATGCAGCCTGGTGCTCTTGAGGCTCAAGGTAATGCCTCAGAGAAAAATGGCTTGGAGTTTAGGGAAGCCTTACTAGAAACCTTGTCGTTCCCGTCTTTCTCATGGGAATGAGGCAGTGCTCTAATAACAGCATGGCTGAAACAGTCCATTTTCTCTTCCTTTCGACAGAAAGGGTAATTTCAGTGTCAGTGATAGCTTCAGTGTGGAGGTTCGGCCCCTGCCCAATCTCCGAGCTGTGAAATGTTGCTTTGGGGGCTGCTGTCCCAAGGAGTCAAGCGGCTGTGGCATCTTGGGCCGCCCTGTCCAGCTCCATGCCAGGACTTGTCCTGATGAGTTGTGCCATTAGTTAGACTTCATCCCCTTCAACCACCTGGGGAATCGGGATGCTTTTCTGAAAGCAAAAGTGTCTTGACGCTTTGTCCATGGAGCTAATGGCCATCAGGGGTCTGTGGTAAAGCAGCTGCTTTTTCCCATGTTTTCAAGCAGCCCTGAGGAGGTTAATCAGAGAACTTGCTCTTAAATTGTCAGGCTTGCCACTGGTGGGCTTCACAGGGCTCTGGTACTAGGTGTCCAGGGCTGCTACGGTGAGATGCTTCATCTACATCAGCACTGCCAATGTCTGATGGAGATACGGCTCTGAGTCTAAACTCATGTGGTCTGGAGAGGGGGAGACTTAAGTGTTGGATATTGTCATTTTATAATGAGGAGTCTGATAAAACTTACCAAAGTAAATGAGTCTTTAATTTGTTTCTTGGGGTCTGGAGTTGATTTGAGGGGGAAAGCTTTCCTCTGCCCTTTCCATGCACTGGTGCTAGGACATGCACTGGTGCTTGGATTGAAATTTGGAAGAAGCTCTACACCAATGTTAGTATGTTTGAACACATCTGAGAAACTAATTCATTTCAGTTTATCTGTTTTTTTTGTGTGTGTGTTTTGTTTTTTTTTTTTTCTTCCAGTGGGATCTTGTTTGTGATTCTGCCTGGAAAGTCCACATTGCTAAATTCTCCCTACTGGTAGGATTAATCTTCGGCCACTTAATAACAGGATGTATAGCTGACTGGTAAGTGAAAAATCTTTTAATGCAATGTAAATATAAATAAATAACTATTAAATACTGTTTTAATTTTCTTCTACTTTGTAGTCATGAAGAAAACTTTGCATACTGATTTTTCAGGTTCTGAAAGAAGAATGATGAATAAACAGTTTAAAACTGTGTTAATTGCTTGAACTGAGTAATTTATATCAAGGTAAATAACATAAATAAACTATTTGATAGTTGGCTTAATTATTTCCCTCTGACACAATTTAGTACAGCTGTAATGCTAGTACAGAATTAAGTATTTTCTAATTATGTAAGTGAAGCCTTTAGTTTAAGGTTTTCTTTTTTTAAGCAGGAGATAGGGCCAAAAGAAATTGGAAGCAGTCTTGATTTGACTGAATACAAGACCAATGTAATGTCAACCTTGTGCTTACACAGTGTCTTTCAGTGGGTAGAAGGCTTTTTTTGCAAACCTTTCCATTGTTCTATTTTTAAAACTCTTGTTAAGCAAACAAGGAATTGCTGACTTATGTGCTGTTAACATTGGGGTATTAAATTTAAAAGCATAGAGTGAAATTCCTTAAATTGCAGTAGTGAAAACATTATTGGATACCCCAGTTACACTGAGAGTTCATTTCTTATTTAAAGAAAGGGTCTTGTAGTGCAAGAGGATGAAAAAAAATTAAAGACATGACTCAAGTGATTTTAATGGAAACTTGCACATCTGAAACAACAGCTCTGCAATGCTGTCCCAGTCATTTCAGTGGCTTCCAGCACAGTTGCCAATGTTGGTGCTTTAAGTGGCCCCAAGTTAACTCTTCTGCTGTTCATTAAAACACGAAAGGAAGAAGAGTTTCCTATTAGGGAAATCTTACAAAGCCTCAGCAACTCACCAGTCAGTTGGGAGAGAAAAGGCCCACTGCAGCTATGCAGTAATTTGGCTCAAGCATTTGTAGAAAAGTTGCATCTTAATTATTGGAAAGTCACTAAAAGTTCTTAGGGAAGTGAAGAATTGTGACTTTTCAGTGAAGTAGGGAACATACATGATGAAATCCAGTTGAATTTGATTAAGATTCTAACAACACGTAGAAAGTATAGTGGGGAAATGAAGAATCTTGCTTGGCTTCCCTAAAAAGGAATCAGTGTGGAGAACACAGACTTATTCCCAAGTTAGGAAAAAGCTGCTATAATTGACAAATAAGTCACAAATAAGTGAACAACTTGTTGCCTAAGGCACTGGCTTCAAGAGAGAATTGCAGTAAGCAGAGTTAATAGTTCTCTGCCACCGAAAGCAGCATCCTGCTCTTCCAGCCATTTCTGTCCCCAGTGTGTACTTCGTGCTGCCACGTGCGCTTGTTGTACCCCACTGCAAGCTGCTTGGCTGACCCAATGCAGTATAAAATTACCCTCATATAAAAATGAGGTATTTTTCTCTTTTTTTTTTTTTGTCTAGTAAGTTTAGGAGACCTTAAAGAGGATTTGATTTCCAGCTGTGGTACAAAGGAGAAAAAGGATAACTTGGTGGCTGGAGGGAACAGTGGCCCCCTTGCCCTTTTGTGGGTGACCAGAAAGGACGTGGTTTGCTGCCACCAAAGCCAGTCCTCATGCTCCTCTTCAGTCTCTGTCCTTGCCATCTGATGTAGCTGACCCAGCGGGGGTCCTGTGATGGACATTTTGTCATTTAGCAGTAGTATTTGGGGCTGGTAAAAGAAGACCTAAATGAGTTTTACTTTGGTATTTAATCTCAACTTGAGTTTCCACTGAGGTAGGGAGTTGTGTGGAGAGATGGATACAAAGGGGATTGTACCTATAAAAAGAGGAAAAAGAAGACAAAAAAGGGTGTCAGTCCCAAGCAAGAGCAGGGGAGATTAAACAGAGTAATGTATAAAAGTGTTAAAACTTTCAAAATCTGTTTTCATTTCACTCATATACCATTCTCCAGTTTAGATCATTAGAAGGTGGTTTGGTTTTTATACCATTAAGGTTTGGGGCTTTGCTTTTGCTTTTTGAAAGAAGGCTTTCAAATCTGTACATGGCAAAGGTGTAGAGTGTATTAAGTTCATTTGCAAAGTAAACGGAGTGGTCTGTGTTCAAAATACAGTAGGTGTGCATACTGGGATAACTCTGTGTGGCAAATCTATAGGAAGATGATCTGTAAACATGTTCAGCTGTGTGAAGACCAGCTGTGTCCAATGCCTGAGTAAGTTACTTGTTCAACAGGCAGAGCACTGCTGGCAATTTTGCCTGCTCTGGACAGAGGCTGTTGAGGTTTCTGTGGAAGGCTTCCTTCTGGAGCAGCTGGGCTTGGTGTTCACGTAGCATCGAGACAGTAGGTCTCTGCCTCTCGCTGCCCAGTACTGCTCCTGCTTTGCACCTGCTCTGGTGCTTTTTTTGAGCTTTTGTGATCCAAGTCCCAAAACCAAGAGAAAACCTGTGAAGAGAAATTTGATTGGCTGCAAAAGCAAAGCTTTCTCAGAGTGGTAAGGTACATGTGTAGGAGCATGGGAAGAGCAGGTCTCATCCTCAAACCATTCACTCTCCCCCTGTGGCGCAACTCTGACAACATTAGGAATATCTTTTTGACACATCTGTGTGTCACACTGTGCAGATTGAAGATTCTTCAAAAGCCTGAGGTTGCTTGTATCCCTAGTCAATTACCTGTGCAGCAGCATTTAGCAGTTGATCTAGATAATAGTATGCAGTGTAGGCTGAGACTTTTGGGCATAGAAATCTCTCTCTGGAATAGTTTGGATGGCAGGAGATAGCATCCTGGGGCTGTTTTACCAGGGAGATTGTTTATGGTTTAATTTCTCACAAGTATTTCCATGTACTGTTAGTCAGATAATTCTGTCTACATTTAAAGGCTTTTTTATGCTCTAAGACACCATCTTGTCAAAACACTGCTGGCTCACCAAGTGTATAGATGATAGGTGTCCTGGAGCTTTGATTTTTGAGGAATGTGCTGCATACCTTGGTGAGGAAGGAGACTAGTTTTGTGTCTGGAGGGAGGTGCTGGTGACGGCCCTTACCAGAGAACTTATCTGGCCTCGGTTGGCTTTCACAGGCCCAGGAGGGTCTTGGATTTCCTGATTCTTCATTAGCAGCAACCATTCATTTGCATAGGCTGTATAACAGTAGAAGAAATTCTGCGTCCTAATGATGGATAACCTTGAGTTCAGAGGGTGGGAGGAAGGGAAGAAGGGAAGTGAAGTATGCTAAGCATGAGGTCTTTTTTTAATCAACATCAGGGATTGGCAGGTCAGGCTTGTGATGAGAATTAAGTCCCTAATTCTGAGTGTTTGCATAATGCCTTTCATCTATAAAACACTTCCACAAATACTAATTAGTATGAATTACAGCTTGGCAATTACGAAAATAGGGCTGCAAATTTCTGCGCAGATAGCCGGTAACACAAACTTCATAGCTTTTTTTCCTGTATTCAAGGTTTTGTATGAGGTACTTCCCCTCTCTGCTCAAGTGCTCTGTGTTCCATAAATATAAAATCTGAAGCACACAAAGCAGTAACTGCCCCGGTGTCCAGCATGTTCCTGTGCATTGTGTATCACTGAGACAGTGATGTGTTCCCACCCTCAGCTCAAAAGCAGCTCGTCATCTGGTGGGCTGGGTTTGTACGCTGATTGAGAGCAGTCTGCTTTGACCTTGTTGTCTTCAGTTTATGCATTGGTATGTTGTGTTTTAAAACACTGAATAGTTAATGCTAACAAGTCAAATCTTTGAGGTGCCCCGCGGGTGATGCTACAGCTGAAAAAAAATAGAAAACCTGTCCTCTTGCGAGGAGACATGACACCACCTTCTTAGGTGTGACTTTGAAAAAGCACGTACAGACATACCGGTGTATTCTTCCAGTTCCCGAAAATACAAAAAAATTATAATGTCTCCTTTTCAGCCCTTCACCCTGTGTTTGATTGATCTCGTTCCATTTTAAGTGAAGAAAAATCCAAAGTTCTAATTGTGTATGCACATATATGATATACTTTATAACTACTGATAACAGTCTGTTGAAATAATTGAATAGAATCATTTCAGCATGTGAAACTGGACTAAGTTGTGAGATTTAAATGCCATTTATTGTGCTGAAATTCAACCTGATGGCTGGCTTGCAGCTGACAGACTGCTTTGAATGGGTCTGTGAAAGCTGCCTACGAAAAGCAAGTTCATATATTCTTTGTGGAAATGGCATATGGAGCTGACTAAAAGGGATCCTCAGTTCCACTGGAAAACTTGTAGGAGTTGACAAGTTGAAAAATTTTGGAAATCTCCACATAATGATCCAATTCGTGCTTAAAAATAGCTGTGTTCTCTGGTGCTTTGTGTCATTCTCCTTGCCAGGAAGAGAGGGGGGGAAAGGGGAATTCTAAACACTAAGCATATGAGTAAGAGATGTAAAAATCTCATGTTCCTTTGACATAAAAGAGACAATCTCCACAGCAAATGCCCCCACATTCAATAGCAACATAACTCTTCCTTTTCATCAGCACTGCACCAACATGTGCAACTACAGGTTGCAGCTGCAAAGCCTGCCTGCAAAGGAGGACTGCAAATCCTCACGCCCCTGTTGCCAGTAATCATTTGTGGAGCAGTTTCTTCCTTACCTTCCAGTTGGGCTCGTGTTGTGGGTCTCTGCAGCTGCTGTGGGGATACCAGGTGGAGGGACTTGGAGCTCACAACTTTCCTGTGAGTGTTACTGTTGTCTCTGTAAGGCTCAGTGAAGCAATGTGAGCCCTGTTTTGTGCTCAGTCCGTGTTTGTTAGGCTTGCCCTCAGCGACGAGGCTAAGAAATGTAGGGTTTTTAGCTAGCTCCTATTGCAGGTGAGGGTGAAAAGCACATGTCTGTTAGGAAGAGGAGACTTCTGCAATAAGCTCTGTGGCTATAGACCAGAGAAATAATAATATACCATGCCATATAATATATATTACCCTGCCATATAATATACATTATCATACACGCTCCTGTGCTACTACAGAAAGCTCTGAGAAGGTGCTTTCAATCTCCAAGGGACTTGTTCATGGGCTCATGATAGTTCCTAGATGTTTCCTTGTTCATCTTTGGTGTTTTGAAAATGATGGTTAATTCAAGCAGTAATACAATGTGCTGTCTCTGCTTAATGCCATCTGAAATTAACTTGTCAGTGCAAAGCTGGCTGAGGAATCTGAGTTTTAGTAAGCAGAAAAAAAATGAGAAGAATGGAACAAGCATTAAAAATGGGTGGCAATATTTGGCAAGGTTTGCATGACTTGTTCCCCTCTGCCAGTTGTAATGATCTAGTGTTATGTCTGTCCTGGCTTTTAACTCTGTTTCTCCATTCTTCCTTATCTTTAGGGTTGGTCGACGGCCTGTACTGCTCTTCTCAGTCATATTCATTTTGATATTTGGACTGACTGTGGCACTCTCAGTGAATGTGACCATGTTCAGCACACTCAGGTTTTTTGAGGGGTTTTGCTTGGCTGGAATAGTCCTCTCCCTGTACGCACTGCGTGAGTATACCTTTATCACCCATCCAAATGTGTCTTTATCAAGTACATGGTTTGCTGTTCTCTGGCTCCCTGCTTTCTTCCAAATAGATCAAATTGGAATTGTATGAACTGGAATAGCCTGAGTTTTGGTAAGGAGGTAGGGATTTTGCAGCTGTCTCTTTAGCCTGATACAGAGCAGACTGTGAAGCTGTTTGAGAGCCCATTTTAAAAGAGTTATAAGGTGTTTTGTTATTATTCAAACCTAGAAGTCATTTGTGTTGTAGCCATAATGTATAATGGGAGAGGATTTCATGTAGTATTACGCTGAATAGGAGACTCTCCACTTCTGCTGTCTCTAGCAGTACATATTCTGGTACATTTTCAGAAATTCCTCTGTTACTTGCAGCAAGAGGTCCCATGTCCCTGCCTCAGGATTGTGAAGTACAGTTAAAATCTGTGAGAAGAGCCTGATGTCCTTTTATCGAGGTGGTTTTTTTAGTCGTAGCTGGTTTTGTTTTTTATTGGGGGGGGCTGTGTGTGAGAAATAACTGAGAGAAACTTGAGGAAAAGCTTGTGAGAAATGTCTACATGCTCATAACGGGGGTAACTAGTAAACTTGTAGTCAAAACATTTGAAAACCCCTTTTGGAGGCCTTGCCACCAGCCTGTGTGATGCCACCAGCCTAACCTGTTCCCCTTGCATATGCTCCAGAGCCCTCTGTCTGCTTTTGCTTCCTTGGCTGTTTGTAAATAACAGGTAGTACTGCACCAACAGTTCAGATCTTCATGAATTTTTATGTATTTCATAAATTTTTATCGTAGATGGTATCTAACCCATCAAGATTTAGCAGAGTATCTTTACTTTGCATGGAGTGTTTCACAGTATTAAGTTCCACAGTTTTTTGTTTTGTTTTTGATCTTCAGCAAGAGGAAAGAAGCCCAACCAGAGTACACAAGAGTTTGTTCTGGATTGCACTTCTTCGTTATAGCTGATATGATACCCAAGAGACACATATTTTTCTTCTCTTGCCTTTGGTCATGTAATCTCTAGTGAGAATTTTTCAACAAAAAAACGAAACCACCATAGAAGATGTTACATTCTTACTGGGAAGTGTTTTAACCTGTGTGGTTCCCATGGGAGGGGGCTTCAGCCATTAACAGTATGACATTCAGCTGGAAATTAGGCTTATTGGGATTTTTCACAGCCTGATGTAGCATGTCAGTTTTTCTTGGTTGGTGCGGGGGTTTTTTTGATTTTTAAGAGAGTCGTTGCAATGGAAGATTTTCATGGAGAAATGCCATCTAAGTAAAAGTTTCATTATGGACCTTTTGAGATCAAAGCAAGAGAGTGCATGTGTCACCTTAGATCAGGCAATAGCTTGCCAGCCAAGGCTTTAATTCAGCAAATGGGAGATCCTGGTTAGCTCATGCTTTGCTTGATCCAGAGCACAGATTTGAATCTGATTCCCCTGTAATTCAAGTATTTGCTATAACTGCTGTCTGGATAGACAATGCATGAATAGAGCTAGTAGTTGTTAGCAGAGAACTGTGTGAAATTAGCCACAGCCAGAACAATAGTGTACTTCAATGGAAGTGAGAAAATGTGAAAGATGCAGCACGTGCACCTCTGGTAAATCTTCTCATCTAGCTAGGGAGGTGAGGGGAGTGGGGTTTTCTGTATTAAATATTTTCACTTAAGAAAAACAAGTTGTCATCTTGGTGTAGAGTAGTGGAAGAAGATTAATGCTTAAAGCTTTAAGAGAGTGGGAGGAACAGCATTTTTTGTTTGTTTGGTCGGTGGTGGTGGTTTTGATTTTAGTACTCGTCATCTGTTAGGCCTTTTCTCTGTTTAGATTTACTATCTTTCCCTTTCTGCTGAAGTCCATAGCATGCCATTACACTCCATTGTAGAGTCATCTTCTGTTTCATAGCCCCTCTTCCCTTTCTCTTAATGGCCTTGATTTCTTCCCCTGGAGGTGAGTTGCCCCTGAATTCCCGGCTGGCTGCCCTGAGTAGAACAGTAGAAAGTGGAAAGTTGGATCTGCTAGACAGTCATTAGCTGAAGTTTTCAAAGCTACTGTGCAGAAGCAAGCTGTATAGGCTTGCATAGCCTGCAAAGGTAATTAGCCTGCCACAGGGATCCTTTTACACTGTGTTGAGCTTGATAGTTGTATGGGATTTATGGCCCACCTAAGGTAAATTGTAAATAACAGCCCTGGATGCCTTGGGAGTGGGAAGAGCACCAAAGTGCTGTCTTTAAAAGACAGCTGCTAAGGTTGAGTTGCCCTCACCATACAAATGGCACTCTTCTTTATAGCCTAATGCTCTTTTCCTACCTGTCTGCCCTACAGTGCAGAGTGAGCCCAGGGACAATCCTTGTCCTCTGTGGAGGGACGGCACTGAGCCCAAGCCACCCGTGCTCCTCTGCAGGCTTTCCTTGGTGTTGTAGCGAGCTAGCTTCTTGTGTGCTCCAAGTACAGCCTCTTGCCTGGAGCTGCTTGGGACTTGTATAAAGAAACCATTTTTGGATGTTGATTCGTAAAACTAGTTTTGTTGGAAAATGTGTTTCAGGTGAAATTTCTAGTGAACCTGTAGGAAGAGAATGGCTTTGTGCAGGTGATAGTTCTTGCTGTGGAGAAGGGAAGCAGAGAAGAAATGACCCTGGGGCTTTTTCCTCCCGGGTGCTTTGGATCATTGCATCATCTAGGAGAGTGAAAGGCAGTTAATCCTTTTCCACAAACACATGCAGCTTTGAAAGGCTTTTGTTTCATGCTGATGTGGAGCAGGGGAGCCTTCTGAAAGTGTTTTCCTGCTCAGTACCAACCTTCAGTGGGTTCCTGTGCTCCTGAACAGCTGGCACGTCTTGTGTGGTGAGGCACCAGCAAGGTCCTCAGGAAGCTCTCCCCAGGAGGGTGAAGTGGCTTCCAGTACGGCATGCTGAGCAGTTGTCTGATGCACAGAGCTGGAACTGCCTGCTGTGATATGCTGGTTAGGTCTTCTGCTATGTTTGCTGAGCAGATTTCTGCAGAAACCAGCTGTCCCTTGTGGGAGAAGGGTGCTGGGACTGGAGGCAAAAATCTTATGGAGAGAGAAATGATGGAGGAGTGCTAAGGAGCACTCTGGCTGCAGTGGTTGGAAGGGGGTGTTTGGCCTGACCAGCAGTTAAATGTAAGACTGTGGGTTGGAGGAGGACAGATTAAGAGAAAGCAGAGGAAAAGCTATTTTTTTCTGAAGGTGCCTTTTGCTCCAGTATTTGTTGCTGCATGCACATCTAGGGAGGAAGGACAGGCATCCTGCACCTGCTGGCTCAGCATGGTTGGATCCACGGTGCCGTAGCCTGCTGCCCAGCTGAAGAAGAGGAGGTTTGAGTTTACCCATTGTGGTGGAAAGCCCTAAGCTGGTCTTGCGAGGACTTTCCTTCAGACAGGCTGAGAGGGGAGGGGAAGAGGTGTGGGAGCCCTGAGCAGGGACATGTGCGCCTGAGTAAGGCCTCAGCTGGCATCTGTGGACTTGTACAGCAGATGAGGTGTGCCACTCTTACTGCAAATAGCTCTGCTTGCTGGTTGCAAGTCATGTGGGACAAAGTACACTCAGCAAATGTGAAAGTCATGGGAGAAAGCAAATCTGATGATCTCAAGGGTGGGGAGGGTGTTGCTTGTGGGTCACTTCAGTCTCACTGGGGCATTGCCTTGGCTGTGCCCACAGGGCAGCCTTTTCCTGTGCACTTGCGTAGAAGGCCAGATGCTGCAGCTGACTCAGCATGGGTCCCTGCCTTAGGGCTCGCTTTCACAAGCTGGCATGAGCTGATACGTGGCTGAGGGCAGGAGTCCCCCCTCTCCTCTCACATGCTGCTGCCCAAGCCACGGTGATGCCAGCATCTGCTTGAGCCCTCTGCAAGGGAAGCCTCCACTTTTGCTCTGGAGAAGACCAGCTGTGCTGTTGTCAGTGGGATGTGCCCTCTGATCTTGTCTCCTCTTCCTTTGGGAGATCATCTGCCGGGCATCGTGTCCCTTGTGCTGCCTGAGCCCGGGGGTTAGAGCAGGAGTGGGGCCCGCACCAGGCAGGGCCAGTGAAACGAATGAAGGGAAGCAAGGGTTCCCTTCCAGGTGATCACCTCCTATGCCACATCTATCTCCTCCACAATGTCCCTGCTTTTGTCACTTCCTGATGTCAAACTAGGATGATAGTATTAATTAAACTATTTAAGGGGGAGGAGAGGAGGGGAAAAGTTGTATTTTTCTGGCAAATGCTTCTGGCAGGTTTAACAAGCCTCCTTTTAAAGCACTGTGTGCCATCGCTAACAACTGTACCTGGGCTCAGACAGCACAAGCTATGGTGCAGATTTGCACACAAATGCAGGCTGTTCAGCATTTTCATGGGTGACTGAACTACAGATTATGCTGCAAAATTAAAAAGTCTAGACTTGAATGAACCAGTAAATAGGCTCTGGAAATAGCTTTGCTGAAAGGGAGACAACATCTCAGGTTGGAGCGAGGAAGCAGGAGTGCCCCTCTGATGCATAGTAGCAGGATGAATAGGCATGTTTTTTCCTCTTTCACTGTTAGGAGAAAAAGGGTAGAAAGACTGTTGAAAATCATAGGTTGAGTTTCAAAAGCCTGGAGAAGCTTGGCAAAAGCTTCCAGACTGGTTAAGCTGTCCAGCTGTGATGTATCTTTCTCGTTTATAGCTAGGTCAATCTAACCTGTTACTCCTGTAAATTGCACAGGCAGTGATCTGAGAGAGGCTAAATGTGGCTTCTTAAGATTTTTTTTTTTAACATGTATCCTGGAAAGCTAGAGCAGCATGCTAGAAAGCTTGCTCCAGGCTGAAGAATGAGCAAGTGCCAAAACTAAGCGTGGAAGCCTCTGGCTGTTGGGCTGTAGTAGTGTCAGATTTGTAAAATAATTTTGCTTCCAGTCAGGTGTCAGCATAAAGGGTGAGATTTATCTCTTTTTTTTTTTCTTTTTTTTTTTTTTTTCCCTCCCCTCCCCCCCCTTCCCCTCACTCCTGGAACTGTATAGG